ACCATATAGGAAACACATATATTATATAAGAATAGACAGTAAAATTTCTAGTTTGAGGTATATTTGAAGGGATTATGCGATTTTCGTGCGTTAAGTACTTGTTAAGACTTTTAAAGCACAATTAAGACCCAAATCAATCCCCGAAAATGCCGACTGTTCCAATTTAAAGAGTTCGGGCTGGTACCCGGAGGACTTTTGGAGATATTTTTGTGGGTCTGGTGTCAGTTTCGCAAAAAATCGTCCGATATTGGGAAGTCGGGTTTTAAAAATGCAAATTTCCAGGTTTTGTTTGGAAGACTTTTTGAAAAACGAAGTCCGAAGACAACGACCTATCTAAAAACTGCTTGCCCTCACTGCTTGCATTTGCACTCGTATCAACTTCGAGACTAGAATGCTGCTCAATAATCAACTCACGGAAACTAACAAACATTGGCGAACGCTAGCGAGTGGTCACCTTTCTTACTGGATATCTTGAAATATGACGAGAAGCATTTATCTCACAATTTTGTCATGACATAGCAACAAAGTTGAAAATTATTTGCACCTTGCTCTATTTACTAAATCTTCGGAGCATGACGAGGTGAGGAAATCTAATAAAAACGTGTTGGTGAAAACAGTGTTCTGAATCAGAAAACACATTTGATCGTGTTAATGTTTTGATTCAAACAGGATGTACCCTGTATCATAATTGATAATATATCGGGTGACCAAGAAACAACGATAACACTTTCCAATACAGGATTATCCATAACGCATCAAAGCTTAGATCATGATATATTACCCTCATCATTATAGAGTTATTACATATCTTTCACAAAACATTAGTTGAAACACTTTGAAATAGCAGCATTTCTTGTTAAAAAAATGTAACCCCAAAAGTTATTATTGTAATTTCTCTAAAATTGTCAATCTGGACATTTTCGACACAAACAGTTCATAAAAAAGGTACACTGTAACATATATACATCAATCAGACAAAACTGAGCAATGAAACGTCAGCCACGGGATTCGGGATTCATTTATCTCAACAAATAGTCCCCTTATCCTGCTCCCCCATTTCAAATATTTACCCTTGAGAATGCATCCTGTCGGTGACGGAGATAGGCAAAAAAAGGCAAACGTCTCATTACTCGGACGTAAACCTAATAAATTTACATATGAAATAACACACTTCTTCA